CCCCGCCCCCCAACAACACCCCCACCCTCTGTCCGCCCCCTGGGACGCCACACTCCCGACCGGGGCTGGTCGACGCGTCCAATGGTCGTCGAGGGAACGCACCCGTCTCCAGTACACAGGGGGCGGCGGTTGGCCGCCGCCGGGTGCTCCCCCCCTGCCCGCCCGCCGGCCCGCCCGCCCTAAGCCCCTGCTCCTGTGGTCCCAAGACAGCAGGGGGAGACACAAGCCTCCGGGGCCGCAAGCGGAACGCAGGGCGCGCGGCACGAAGAAAGTTCGTCGACCGAGAGGGGGAGAGAGGGAGAGAGAGAGAGAGAGAAGGAGCACATCCCTGTAGCCAAATGCATTCTCCCCCTGCACGGGAATGACCGCAAGCGAGCGTGCACCTGCCTGTGCTTGAGATGTGGCGGTCGGCTCGGCGCTGGCGTATTCATTGGAATTACCATTCCCCGGGCCTGGGGATGGAGCGGTGTTGACAACCCCGCCCCTGCCGGGACCCGGCCTCACGCGCTTTTGAGCCGCCCCCCCCCCCCCGGCTGGTTGCCCCCCCTTTCCTCCATCCCGGCTGTGCTCGGCCCCCGTTAGACTGCAACCGTTCCGTGGAGCCTCGGCGGAACCGCCCAATCATCCCCCGCCCCGGGTGCGCCCTCACCGGACGCCCCTTTCTCGAATCCCTGCGGGGGACGGACGGACGGGGGGGGGGGGGGGGGCGCGGGGACAACCAGCCAGTTGACCAGGCATTGTCCTCTGCCCGCCAATGCGGCCTGCGAATGTGAGGCATGCCCATTCGCGTGGGCCAGAGGCGAGGGCGATGTCGGACGGGCAGGACTCTCTGCGGCAGGCCGCAGGGGCGCGAGCACTCCGGGGGTGTGACGGCACCGGCCCGGGCCCGTGCGCAAGAGACAAACAACGCTCGGGCCCTCCCCAGGCCATGGGCGGACCAGCCGGGGACGCCACACAGAGGCAGGTTCCCCATGGTGGTGGAATTTCCCAGAACCGGCCGCCATTGAGAGGTGAAATGAAAGAACGCCCGGCCCCGCCCCGCCCCCCCCCGGTCGAACAGAGGGGTGAATCGCCGCAGACCCCCCCCCTCGGATAGGAAGGCCCTTGGGGACACAGGGGACTGCAAACAGAGCGGGGAAGAGCCAGACTGCGCGTCACACAGTCAAAGCCGCCCCCGACAGCCCTGGGGCGTGCGGCGGAGGTGCGACGCGCGCCCCTGGAGCCCGTAGCCAACACACCGGAGAGCCGGTGGCTCCTTCTGGAACGCGTGAGTGCGCCCGCGCAGACGCCTCGGCTGGCGCAAGCCCTGTCGCACTTGCGCACGCGTTGCAGGAACGAATTAGCCCCCCCCCCCCGGCCCGACCCCACACCAGGGGGGGGGCGCCTGGAAAATGGAGCATGCGCGCCGCACCAAAGCAAGCTTGGCCATTCGTGCGGTGAACCCGGCAGACCCGGCCTCCATGTGAGGCGGCGGCGGGATTGCCGCCGTATATTGCTGACCTGAATTGCAATAACAGCCCGGGGGAGCATGCATGTGCCTTTTGGCGCGCCCGTGCCGGGAGAGTATGCGCCGGCGCCCAGGTCTCCCCCTGTCTGCGAATGTGTGTGCGTGTGCGCGAGTACGCCGGGGCGTGCGCTCGGCTCTCGCATATGGGTACCACATTCATGTGCGTCCACGCCCCTCGCCCCGTTGGGCGCCGATGTCCACCGGCCGATGGGCGGGGGAACAATAACCCCGCCCCTTTTCGGACCGCGTCCCGACCTTTCGTTGAGCTGCACGGGCCCGCAATTATGGCGAGCCCGCCGAACCAGGACAGCCCGAAATTGCCGCGCGCACACACACCGGTCACTCGGCCCCGGGCCCGGCCCCGAGACGGGGGGGCCGGCGCAGGCGCACAGTGACTGGGGAGCGGGAAAGCTGCTTGACCTTGCCCGGGGAGGGGGGGGGCGGAGGCGGGGGCAGGGAAAGGCTCCCATCAGCCGGCCCCAGGGAAGATGTCTTCATCGGGTCCGCGTCCTTCTCGGGGACACAGCAGGGGGCGGAGGGCGGGGGGGGGGGGGGGGACAGCAAGTGGCCAGCTCGGCCGGCTGCAGTCTCCGGCCGGCTGGAGAGGGGCACAGGCGCAGAGCGCGCCACGGCGCCTCGCCCGCCCACCCCGGCCCCCCCCCCTCCCCGCCCCCAGGGGCGCGCCTCAGGGGTGCAGCCGCGGGGAAAGGACCCGAAAAAAAACGGGGATCCGGCTACCGGGCCCGGACCGCAGCGGAGCAAGATGCGTCCTTGGTCCGGGCAGCAGCGGGGGAGGGACGGTCGGCGAAACAGCGTCGCCCTTTTCCCCTCGCCCTCCGGGCCAAGGCTAGTGATAATGTCAATATTTAATAGATCATTAAGGGGGAAAGGCCCTGTGCCCACATCTCTCTCCCGTCGCCGGCCTTGGTTGGGCGCGGCCGGCCCTTCTCCCGGGACTTCGGGCGGAGGCCTTCCCACGACGCCACCGGGTGGCAGGACCCTAACCTCCGCCGGCTTATCACAGGCAAAGCGGGGGGGGGGGGGGGGGGAGGGTGTCTCCCTTTGCCCCGCCCGGCTGCCCGGGTCTGTGGTCCGTCCATAGCAGGGCGCCGCCGGCACTGCCTTTTTTCAACTGTTGCCCTGCCGCAGCCCCCGGGTGAGGTACTCCACGGGAGCCGGAGAATCATAGTTGAATATCGCCGCTCAGCCCACGCGTCATCTCCCGGGGAATGCGCCATTCCGGGGCACTTCGGACACACGGGGGGGGACGCATGCCCCAAGAGCGCCGGGATTGGGTGTCCGGACGCACGTCTCCCCCCCCCCCTGAGGCGGGGCCGGCCAGCAAGGCCATCGGCACCAAGGCCCGCACCCCTCGGGCGAGGATGCCTGCCGGCCCCCGGGGAACACATTCCAGGCTCCCCCGGCCGCCGCTCTTCCGGGACTGGCAGGCAGCCGCGTCGCAATAACAATGGACGTCGCCCTGGAGCCGTGTCCGCCGCTCCTCCGCCGCTGGCCCGCCGCTCGTGTGTGATGCTGTTCCAACCTCCCCGCGAACGCCCCGCGCTCTGGCGGCCGACGCGGGCACACCTTCGCCAAGTCGACGCAAGGGAAGTCTTGCCAGGGAGGGCCGGTTCCTCGCCGCGACTCTTCACAGACCGGGAGATGGGCCGGTGCTCCGACAGCCGGCCGCACTCTGGGACATACCTCCCAGCTGGTGAAACCCTGCTGGCAGAGGAATTCGGCCGGAGGGTTGCACCATCGGAGAGGTATGCCCAGAGTGCGGCCGGCCGTTGGGCGGGGGGTGGCTCCCAGGATGTGACACACAAGGGGCATGTGGGGCCAAAGTGCACCGGCTTCAGCGGCCTCGCCGGCCCGCAACCGGACGCGAAGATAACGGCAGACGAACATACACATCCTTCTCAGAGAACCCGATCCGAGGCGGCACCTCGGTGGAAAAGGCCCGCCGGCCGCTCTGGGCCCCCCGCCCACTCAACGGCACCCAGGCCGGGCTGCCCGGGTTCGAGGGCCCCCCGGGCACACACCTCTTGGCCATGCGAGCCTGATGCCCGGCACCGCGCGGCATTCGGCATTCGTGCACGGGCCGCGGCGGCCTTGCCGACTTGCTGCGGCAGGGCTGCCCCCGGCCGAGCCGCGCCCACTCTCGCCCATACCAGCGCCTCCCCTCTGGCGCGGCGACGGACCCGGGAGGCGAGGTACCGCCCCCGCCCCCCCTACGGGGTCGTACAGATTCCCGCTCATTTTAGGTTTTAGGCGGGCTTCGCGGGCCTTGGAGGGGTTCACATTCCTGTCGTAATGCCGTCCCCGGGTCAGTTGTGTGGGTTTTTTTCCCCCCCCTTTTGCTTTTCCCTTCCCGGTTTTTTTCCCCCCCCCCCCCCCCCCCGCCCGCCGCCCTGTGTGGTGTTTTTTCCCTCGAACCTACCGCTGTTGGCAGCCTGTGCGCACGTCGGTCCCTCGTCCGGCTGCTGGTCGGGGTAGCAGGCCCCTGGGGGCTCATCGGCCTGTGCTCACTCGACAACAGGGGGCACCTGGCCGCTTGAATGTGCACGACGAGGCCCGCCGGTGGCGTCCCGGAACAAGGCCGTACTTTCATCCCCGCCGTCTCCGCGCCTGGCCCGTCCCGGGCTGGAAGGCAGCCCGTGAAGTGCTCGGCCCGCCGCAGGACACCAGAACCCCAAATCACACCACACCGTGGGTCACATGTCAACATCACACGGCCGATTCGGTAGATCACACCGCGACTCGATGCCTGCAGTCTGCCGCCCCGCGCGCCCACTTGGGAGAGGCCCTTGATAAAATGAAAAGCGCGAGGGACACACACGCCCGCCCCCCATATTTACACGCCACAACAGGCCGCGAAGGCTTGCTTCTTTCTCCTGGCCCCGTGTGTCCCCTCCCCCGTCGTCTCTTCTGTCAAGACTGGGAGTCCCCCCTTCCCCCCCCCCCCCCCCGAGCAAGAGGAGGGAAGACATGTTTGTGTAGGAGTTTTTTATTTTTCGTAACGCGAGCACAGGGGCACATCATGCGGGGGAGGCCGCCTTCTCGGATGCCGCACGGCAGCGACATAGCGGCCCTCTGGCATGGCGCTATGATACGGGGATTGCGCGTGGTTCTAGCGGTGGTAGTGGTGTGGTGGCGAGCGACACCGTGTCGCAAAGAGGGGGGGATTTTTTTTTTGGAAGACACGAGGCTGTAGCGTCCCGAGCCTGGGGAGAGCCAGCAAGGGGACACGCCGCAGCTCAGTTGCCCCCCTCTTGTCATGAGAGCCAGAGGAGGCATGCACGCTCGCACACTCGCTCTTGCAATATTCTCGTCCCCCCCTCTCTCTATCTCCCCTTTAGGAGCTGGCAATCTCGGGGGTAGCGCTCAGGCCCCGCAGGGTCTCCGGCATCTGGTCCTCAGAGACAAGAAGCTCGAAGGTGGACGCGCGATCGACATCCTCCTGCTCGGCAGAGGGCTTGATCCAGTGAACCAGGAGGGTGACGCGGAACTCCGAGAGCGGGACGAGGAGGAGTTTCTGCAGGCCGATGGGCAGGAGACGGGGGGGGGGGGGGG